CATTCTTAAATAGGGATTCTACATCCAAAGACAACATATATTTATTCGAAGCGTTTGCATCCTGTATACATTCGACAAATTGGAGAGTGTCACGAAGGGAATGAATAGATACTTGTCCCCTGACATGTTCGAGGATTTCAGATAACCACCTAGCTATTGCATAGTAGGGGGATCCGGGTATATCCAATATCCAATTTTTCGTTTTGTTGATTCAGTTTGTCTACTTTTCCTCTATTACGTCAATTGTTACTACTATTACTATTCTCACTTTGAAATGTCCCCGGTATTATTTCACTCATTCCACGCTTGTCATTCTAAATCAGTTCTGTTTTGCAACGTTAAATTCTATGTTATCAAATTCCACGCAACCTTACGTAACATTTTTATTTTATTCTATTTGCCTATTAATCCTTTAATTGCTCACCCCTTCCAAGTTCTATACATCCTATGAATTATTCTATATATGACATCAATTGTTTTACCACTTGACATTGAACTATGATTATAATCACAAATACTTTAATTGCATTTCATACTGCTATTACTATTATTTAATGCTTTCACACCTACGGTTCATTTCCCTCACCGGATATAATTTCGTACGAACTAAATATAAATGTATACTACTGTTCAACTTGATGATGAATTCATTGTTGAGAAGAGTTTCTTCGCTGAAGCACTTTTCTCGATTTTCTAAACGTTCATTGTTGTTTGTTAATATTTATTGATAATAATGCAATTAATCCTGCCAAATATGAAATCCTGACTTCTGTCCTCTTTGTGATGATCTTCAGTATTACTGGTTTTGGGTCATTGCGGATCACACTTATAAATTTTTTATTACAATATGTTGTGTGATCTTTCCCTAGCAGAAGATAAGCACTGTTTTCCAATAGTTCTCTGAGTGATTTGAGCTCACGATGAAATCCTCCAACCAACCAAACAAAATCCCTACAAAAACCAATACTCGAAAATCGATCTGATGCTCACTAGTGACTGTCCCTATTCAGGCAGTTACCTGAAGTTCTAGTGGGAAGCCATGAACAGCAGGTCAAAGGTGAGGACAGTTACTCCTCCAAGAAGACACTGTGAAGTGGTTGGCCTATGTCGTGAACTGGCAGTACTTACTAACGTAATATTTTCTGATGCTTTAATCCTTTTATCGTATTTTTCAGTAGGAATTCCACCATCCTTTGACAATATGTCTTTACTTTCTAATCATAATTCTAACACTGATTCAAATTCTGAATGGATTCCTCACTATTTTCCTGAACATGATGGAGGTATGTATTTCTGACGGATGATACTGGATCATGAAAGTTTTGCAGCTAAAGTATCCAGCGTAAGGAGCACAACGAAATTAAGATTTTCTCCGAATTAACCCGTATCGCCATCCTAACCTTGACTGAGTACAGGGATATATTTACCTGTGATTGGACACTAGTCAGTAACAAGTGTAATGTGTGTATGTGTGTTTAGTCCCATCTTTGGTGGAGACTGAATTTTATCAGTCAAGTTTCCAATGTGGCCACCATGCCACTAGGTGGTTCGCCATCATGGTGCACTATGAACTGTTGGTATTAGATGGTTGAAGGAAATCGGCAGGAAGCCTTCTTACTGACTACTGTCTAATGAAAAATATCCAATGCAGTCCTACAGGAGGTCAATCACGAGCCAGCCCGAATAGCTTAGTGGTAACGTCTCTAACTGTAGCACTCACTGGGTTACGTGGGTTCGAATCTCAGAAGGAGGGATATAAGTTCCTTCAAGGTACCAACCAGCAAGAAACCTAGGTCAGGTAGGGCTTCCTGTGACCGGCTGCCTCAAACCATCTAATGCTAACAATATATTAATGTCATCCGAAGTTGATTATTCCTAGAATAGGGAAATTTAACAGTTTCAACAAATAGAAAGTATCTAGTCGATTAAATTCAAGTGCCAACCTGTTGAAACATTTCATCTGTAACTTTACAAGATCTTGAATGTGACCTGTGTCTGCTCGGTACCTCACAATCCACTAAATCAAGTAGAACTGCTTTCAAAACTATTCCTGGTTGACAGTGAATATCACGAAACAAACATCTAAATTTATGGCAGTGAATTTCAAAATAAATCAAGTGGGAGGGTAAGATTTTTGTGCATCTGGATGTTTTGTGAAACCGGAGCTGAGTTTCAGAGTCATTTTCTTATTGCGTTATGAAATCCATTTACTTTTTGAATAATTCGACAATATATTCCACGGGAAATACCTAGAGAACTATTGAAGGCCAGTAAACACTGAACATATGTTTCAACCTAGTTTGGGACTCTTCGAGGGACATGCTCTTAGGGTCCAATAAGAGATACAGCCCATTACTTTTAAGTTACAAGACAAGCATTCTGAACACTTATTTATTGGGTTGGAATTTAGTAGCCCTAATAGACTGCACTTTCCGTTAGTTAAATTGCCCGATAGAAATCAATTTCGCAATTTACTAGTTAGTTAGCGATTTGTTATATATACACAGTTCAAGGGGTGGAACTTCCCTTTATTTTCCATTGGAAATTGAAATTATTCGGATTACATATTATGTGATCCACTTGACACTATTAAATGGCAATCAAAAAAGCAATAATAATTATTATTGTTTCCTTTATTTCCTAGAGGAACACTGAGATTCAGCCAAATGTCTCCATTGCGTTCGGTTCTCTCCCAACGTTTTCACCTGGCTCCACATCTTATCACACGCTTTCATCTCCTCTTCACACGACCACCTCCATGTCACTCTCGCACTCGAGCGATGGCCTGGCGTCTGATGTCACTTGATGGTTTTTTTTTCTCAGAGTATAGCCAGCCAATCCACCTCCCCTTCTTCCTGCACATTTCTTGTACAATTGGTTCATGTTGGGTTGGTTAGCTCATTGAAAGAGATCTCTCTCTGTTGCTGATGTTTCCTCGCCAGCCATCTGGTTTAAACGAAGATTGCTGTCGATGAAAGCCTGTGGTTTGTTAGTGATGTCCTTTGTCTCTGATACGTATAGTAAGTAGCACTGACTGCACATTAGAGTTGAAAATCTGGATTTTTTTCATGCTGACTGCTGTTGATTACTTCCACGCAGACTTGAGAGTAATGAAAGCTTGCTTGTTTTCCTGATCCTCACATTGATATCCTCATCGGTTCCGTCCACCTGAAGTTGAAACTGTGCTTCCCAGATAGGTAGGTAGGTAGGTAGGTGACGGAAGTTGCTTCTTTCACACTCCTCCCATTTATGTTGATTGTTGTCTGTTGTTGTTGGCTAGGAATCTTCATCATCACCTCTGTTTTCTCTATGTTCACCTGAAGTGTTGTCCTACCTTTGATGCTTCTCCTTCTGTCAACTTGTTGCTTTTCACTTGCATATCTTTCAGTTTTTGTGAAATCAGATATATATATATATCATCGGCTAAGTTGAGATTCATCAAGTATTGTGCGTGGGTCTATTTTGCGGTTATCTTTTCGCTACTCATTTCAAAAATTTAGTAGTATAAAGTGTTATGCATAAATTGCCTACTATCCAATATCGTTTCGGGATTAAAAATTCATTTTGAAATCAATCAGAGTATTAAAAACTCAAAATATGCAAAAACATTTATTTATTTATTTATTGATTCATTTGTTTATCAACTTTCAGATCTGTTTTCAAGGTGATACCTTGTTTGTTTACACATTTATTTGTTTGTTTGTCTGTCTGTCTGTTTCTTCATTTAGTTTATTTACAGTAAAGAAATTGAATGATCAAGGTCAGTTGGCAAATTCAAAAATAAAACAGAACAAAACAAAAACGGACAATAAAGAATGAAAATTCACATAAATTATAATTCAGATCATACTTACTTATGAATAAAGTAAAAAACAACAAAACACAAAACAGAAAAGAGGAATACACAAAATCTGCCCTCTGAGAATGTCTCAGAGGAAACAGAATCATCTCATAATGAAAATTATACATGAGTTGTACTCACTGTGGAATAATGTGAAATAACACATTCATGTGAGGCGTGAATGAGTAACCAGACAATCACACACTCAAACACACACACCAATTAACGCTCAACAAACACAACTCACATGAATATATGGTAAATCAAGAAATTACACTCACACGCGCATATGAATTAGGGCAAAACGCGTTCTTCTGGATAAAAGGTAAATAAAATAGTCACGCAAAAATTAATAAAAATGCATTTTATTACTATTATTAGTAGTATATTAATAAAAAATAAAATTTTCAGAAGAAACACATATATGTATAGATGTATATACTTTACCAGAAAGTACATAATTCATAAAAGGATGAAATAATAATTGTTTTTTTACTTTGAAAAAAATAAAAATGAGGAAGAACAAAATTTTAGAGTGTTAAAAACAACAAATAGGAGAAGGAGAAGATGAAGAAGAAACGAAGCAAAGCTAAAATTAAACAGGTTCAATAATAACTGTTGCCTTACTTCTATTTTCTTTGTTTAAATTAATCAATATTCAATCATTTGTAATGCTGATGTATATGTATACATACGTACATATATATGCGTGTATCGAACATTGAACGGTGGACGTAAATATGGAGGTAGCGTTAATAAATTAAAACAAGCGCTGTCAAGTTTTAAGGCACCGGGAAATTGAAATACACTGTTTGCATTCACTTGATTATTGTAACACGAGGGAATGCTCGTAAAAGTTTTCTTTCTTTTTTATTTACAAAAACAACTGACACAAGAATAAATGCTCAAAATAGTAAATGCTTATATTAATTTTTGGAGAAACCACTGAAATGCCAATATGAAATATCATATTATACATATACATATATATGTATAATATAATCCAAAATAGTGCTCATTTTCACTGATTTGAATAGTGGGATAATCTATTTTTTTGCGTTATTAGTTTATTAAAACAAAACTAGGGATATCAGTATCACAACCTTGACAATGAAATAATCAGTTATTCATTGAACTCCTCAAAGAAATCAAATCAAAACTATTCATGATTCTGTGTAACGTGTAGCTCAGCCAATCGAGCTAATGCTATCCGTGTTATAGTTTCATTCGTATCAATCAATTGTTTTGAATCAATATTCGATAGAGTAAGACCAGTAGCTGATCTTCTTCGAGTGAAATTCTGTTTCATTTCAGTGTCAGTTGCTTCATCCATAGAAGAAGCTTGTCGCATAGCAAAATTAAATAATCGACTATTTTCGATGGATGCATTATTTGTGGATGTAAATGTGTTAAAGTTTTCGCCTAGGGGATTTGCTTTATTTAAAGATTTAAAGAAATTTCGATTGATATTCATTGCAGCAGAAATATTGTCTGACTCTAAAGAAGTATGATCTGTCGTTGATGGTTTAGATGAATTTTCAAATACTGTCGGTAACCATCTACTCGCTGGTAACGATGCATATTCAGTGGTGATTTCTTTAGAGAAACAATTCCAGTAAGAAGAATGCAATTGTGCTACTCTTAGTAAAGTTTGTATAGCTGCAGGATGTGGTACACGATCCATTTCTGTCTGTTTCAATGGAAGTAAATCAGGAACACTGATTGGTACAGAATTTTTCTCATTGATTTCTGCAGCTGACTGGAGAAGTGCTCTAACACAAGCTTCTGTACAATCACAAAGACTATTCAAATCATAACCACCTTCTAAAGATAGAACGACTTTAGAATTAGCTATTCGATCAACAGATAACAATCGTGTCATCCAACCGAAAGCTGCTGGACTAACAGAATAACCGCCAAGATTAGCTGAATGCCCCGGAGCTGCATCAAATCCAGCTGAGACCAGGACAAGACTTGGTTGAAATTCATAGGCGACGGGTAGAACAATTAAACGAAATGCAGCTAGATATTCAGCATCAGACATCACTATACCTGATGGCCAAGCAATATTGATTGTAAATCCTTCACCAGGACCAGCACCAATTTCTTCAGGTGATCCAGTACCAGGAAAAAATCCGCCTTCATCATGTCTATGCAATGATATATACAAGACAGTTGGATCAGTATAGAAGACTGTTTGTGTCCCATTTCCATGATGAATATCCCAATCGACAATAAGAATTCTTGGTTTCAATGTTGGTTCTATTGTGTATGGGAGAAAAGCTGATTGATCGAACAGTGTATTTGTTAATGAAGATATAACAGAGTTTTGTTCATTACTAAGTGTTGTTGACCCAAGAAATTGAACTCTTTTAGTTGCTATTGCTATTGAGTTGAAATAACAAAAACCCATAGCTTGACCAGGTTCTGCATGATGTCCTGGCGGTCGTACTAAAGCGAAACCATTAGGACATTGACCTAACATAACACGACAGGCTAAATCCACGACACATCCAGCTGCTAGTCTAGCTGCATGCGCTGTATGGCCAGCTGTATGCCAAGCAGTATCAGAATCGACACCGACACCACCACAAGCTAATCTACACAAACGTACAGTAGCTAAAAGTGTTGGATCAATTCGACATCTACTGGCTGGATTACTTCCGAAGAGGACTGTGTAAACATCACGGTGGACAAGTTGTAATTCAATTAGGGATGCTCGCCTTCCTGGTTGATGATGACATTGAGCAGCTAAACCAGTTTGCTGAAAATAGAAATTAAAGAAATATTGAGAAAATTTAACAAAAATGAATTTTAAAATTGATTTTGTGATTTAAAGCTCCTTGGAAGGTAGTTTTACCACCTAAGGTTTGTACATAAAAATAGTAAAAGAATCTATGATATTAGATGGTTGGAGGCAGTCGGCCACAGGAAGCCTTGCTTGACCTAGGTTTCGTGCGAGTTGGCACTAGTCAGCAAGGCGTATCTGCAACCTTGAAGGAACTCATGTCCCTTCTGCGATTCGAACACGCGTCACCCAGTGACTACTTCAGTCAGAGACGTTACCACTGAGCTATTCAGGCTCGCGATTGACCTCCTGTAGGACTGTAGTGGATACTTTGATTGGACACTAGTAACTAGTGTGATCTGCCTAGTTAGGCTTGTAATGTGGCCACCATTCTAGGTAGCTCGCCATCACGGTAACTGATAGAATTCAGTCTGCACCAAAGAAAGGACTAGATACACACATCACACTAGTTACTAGTGTCCAATCAAAATAGTAAAGGATTCTGAAGGAACTTTAAGACAACCATGCCTTTCTTTCAATTTAACTTAAATGAAAGAAATGATAGTCGATGAGAACTTGATGACTGAGTAATTGTTGTAGTCATTTCTGTCTCAGTATGGAATTTAGCTTCAACTCCAATGTGAAGTCAGTGCTACTTACTGTACGGATCAGAGACTTGGTGCCGCGTCATAAAGAGAACTTCGAACAAACTACTGACACTCATCAACAGCTGTCTTCACTCAATACTTCACTCAAGATCAAATGGCCAGCCGGAATCGATCAGCAGTAGGGATCTCTGGGAGCGAATCAACCAGGAACTGGTTATGCAACAAATATGCAGGAAGAAATGGAGGTGGATTTGATTGGCCATACTCTGAGAAAAAAACCCATCAAATGAGTGACATCACACGACAGGTGACTGCTCGAGTGGAACCCAAATGGGAAACGGTGAGGTGGTCGTCAGTGTGAGGGTGACATGAAGGATGAGGTCATGTGAAGAGGAGATAAAAGCATGTAGGCAGACGTGGAGCCAGGTGGAAATGTTGTCAGAGAACCGAACGCATTGGAGACGTGTGGCTGGATCTCTATGTTCCTCTAGAAATTAAAGGAAACAATAATAGTGGTAATGGAATTTAGCAGTATGTGACTTCACGAAAAGCAAATCATGTGCTGACCAAATTGCAACTATATACATCACCAACAAACAGAATGTAGAATGACAGTTGAATTTCAACCTCAATTTTATTGACTTCGAAAGGACTTCGACAGACAGCGTTGACCGAGAAGTAATTTGGAAACTACGTCAACAATATGCTATGCAGTGTCCAAGTCTTTATCCAACTCATTCAACAACTGGATAGATGATAATGCCATGTGTTAGGTGATCCACAAGGGAAAACTCACCAAAACCTTTGAAGTGAATACAGGAGTAAGACAAGGCTGGCTGCCTGCCTATAACTGCTAATGATGTTCCTAATTGTACTGGACTGAATTATGCGTCAGACTGTGAGTGGAGACTGAGAAGTCAGGAATACACTGAACTGGTAATAAGATTCTTGAAGATTCGGAATTCGCGGATGATTTATGTTTAATATCACAGAAACTCGAAGACTTGCAGGCGACGACCAACAAAGTGGCTGAAGAAGCAGGCAGGCAGAGAAGACTGGACTCCAAGTTACTTTAGAGAAAACAGAGGTTTTCGCCTGCAAGGCACCTATCGAGTCTGTGTGAAATTAAACACAAGTCATCGGCGAAATCCAGATCATCTAGAGTCTTCTCGCTGGTTAAATTTATCCCTATCGTCTCACTCCCCATGCACAGTCTGACGCATAATCCAGTCCATCACAATTACGAATGTCATCGGTGATAATAGGCAGGCAGACTCATCTTACTTCTGTATTCACCTGAAAGGCGTTGGTGAGTTTTCCGTTGTGCATCACCTGACACATAGCATTGCCATATAGCCAGATGTTGAATGCGGTTGATAAAACCTTGGCACTGCACGCCATAGTGTTGAGGTAGTTTCCGAATTTCGTCTCCGTCATCGCTGTCGAAGGCCTCTTCGAAGTCGATGAAGTTGAGGTGTAGTGATAGCTGACTGCCATTCTATGCTTTGTTCTGTGATGACGATGTGTTTAGCTTCAATTTGATCAGCACATGATTTGCCTTTCCTGAATCCATCTTATTCCAGTTGGCGTGGTTCAGAATTTCTCGAATTAGTATCTTACTCGCCATAGACAAGAGTAGAGGCCAGAGTCTCCTTTCTATGACAGCTTGACAAGGTAGCCAGCCTTTCTTCTAATCGGTAAGCACCTTTCTTTCCTTTCAAACATTTTACAATAATAGTATTTGAATCCATTTTCAATGTTTCGAGGAGAGGGGGGAGGGGAGAATTCCATCTGGTCCTGCTATAAGATTGTAATAGTTAAGATTTTTCAATGATGAATAAACAAGCCACTAATTGAACACAAACATAGAGAAAGAGAATGAATTAAATCTAACCAGGTAGGATCAAACTTCGGCGTACCCGAAATATCCATCAACCTCATTCAACAGCTGTACGACAACGGCACATGTCAAGTGATCCACAACGGAAAACTCAGCGAGGCGTTTGTAGTAAACACAAGAGTGAGACAAGTGTGATTATTATCACCAATGATATTCCTAATTGTGGTGGACTGGATTATGCGTCAGACAGTGCAAAACGAGAAGACAGGGATATCCTGGACGGACGTGAAGAACCTAGAAGACCTGAATTTTGCAGATAACATATGTTTGATGTCACACAAAATCGAAGACCTACATGCAAAAACTGACAAATTGGTCGAAGACGCAGCAAAGATAGGACTCCAAGGGAACATAGACAAGACGGAGGTTATGAAAATAATCAACCAACAACAACAACAACAGCAACATCCAGCGCCAATCACCATCAACGGGAGGGATTCGAAAGAGGTTACTTCATTCACTTATCTAGGGAGCATTGTCTCAACTACAGGCAGGTCGAACGGACGAGGATGTCAAATAGAGAATCGGGAAGGCGAGAAACACATTCATCAACCCGAAACCAATCTGGAAATCTTCGTCACTCAACTCAGCATCAACAACAAAATTTGGATTTTCAATACAAACGTCAAGTCAGTCACTTCTTCTATACGGATGGATCAGAAACTTGGCGGCGTGTCACAAAGAATATTTCCAACAGCCTGTTGCAGACCTTTATTAACAACTAACTGTCTTCGCTGGCTCTATACTGAAGATCAGATGGCCGGAAAGAACAAGAACCAACAAGAAACTATGGGAAGAAACAAAACAAGAACCAATCGCCCAACAATTATGCAGGAGAAAGTGGAGATGGATTGGACACTCACTGAGGAGGCCGTTGGGTGACATCGCGCGTCAGGCCATAGCTCGATTGGAACCCGAAAGGGAATCGGCGAGTGGGACGTCAGTGCAAGGGTGACATGGAGGAGATTGTGTGAAGAAGAGTTGAAACAGTATGGACTAACATGGATGCAGGTGGAAAGTACAGCAGAAGACAGAAGCAAGTGGAGACGTGCAGTTGAAGCCCTATTTTCTACTAGGAACCCAAGGGAACAATAATAATAATTATTATATAGGTAGAATCAAGCTTTTAATTTGTCCCTACATGATTATCGATTTCATTGATTATCATCACATGTGACCGTATTGATAATGTCTGTATTCAATTTTAATTGAGACAAAATACAAGGTAAGCTAAGAAAGCTGTAGTTTTTCATTCAATATAGGAAACCATAATAGAAACCATAGTCTATTTATTATTGTTTATCTTATGTGAGTGTGTGTGCATATATATATATGTATTGAATGTATTTCAGAGACAAGAGAAACTAGGGTATAAAGATAAAATCTTACTCAAAGCAAAATGCTTCCTAATCAATTGATCTATTCACCATTTGTCTATTACTTTTCCCTTTTTTTGTTCTTTCCCGTGTTCTCTTCCCAAGTGAACTGCAGCATTCTCACTTCATACTTGCCCACTTGCCTACCCCACTTACTCACCTAACTACCTACCTACCTACTGACTAAATACTCAAGTGAGGCTTTATTATTTGCCTTTGAGTTTTGCTCTACTTTCCTTCACTTTTCTATCCACTCTGAAGATTATCCATTGCATTTATTGATTTTAAAGCAGACGTAGATAATGTGTCATGTGATATTGTCTGAAAATGAGTGAAAATTCTTTTTGTAAAACTAACTAACTCACTGACTACTGATTTCCAATCAATGGAAATTAGGAAGAAAGATAAGAATAGAACTTGTGCAATGTGGTAGAGTATAATTCTATTATGGGTAAATTTTGTTTTGATAAAGTCTCACAGTGTTATACAGTAATGTTTACTGATGACCACGTTTTGAGCACAAACTATTACTTTTAATCATATCAAGGTACTACTCACACAACTTTCTAGCTTCGTTTATATAATTCCATTATTTCAATTCATCGCTTGATTTGATTGGTTGTAGTATTTTCCATATGATGATGATATGGTGATGACTCATTCCTATTGCAAGTGTTGGGTGTAGACTCGATGAACAAAGATCCAGTGATCAACCTCTCTCTCCTCGTCACCTACCTGTATTTCTTCTTAGAATCTTAACCCTCTCCCACACACGCTATTGTGTGGTTATGTGTGAATGCATAAAGTGAAATTGCTGAGGGCTTTTTACTAAATTACTTATCTTCACGGGTGGGGTCAATCATTCTTGCCTTAGCTAAATCCTTATGTTCTGACAGGCAATCTGAATACTCCCGACCTACTAGTTTGACCTATGTAGTTGACCTAACTCACAGTCATTGCAGGGTATTTTGTAAATTATATTATTTTGTTTAATTGGCTCAACCTACAGGTGTCCTTCAACCTGCAGAACTTGTCCCACCTGAGGGAGTTTGTAGGTTTGAATGCCACTCTAATTCCTGCTTTATTCAGAAT